CTAGGTCCTCCGCCCAGCAGGAGGGGGCAGATGGTGGACGATAAGCAGAGCAATAAAATATAGGTTTTGAATTTTTTAGATTAATTTCTAGCCAGATTGTCTCAATATTACTGATTTCATGATGACAAAGCCTTATTAAGATTAGGAATAAGGATAAACCTAGATTTTTTTTTCGTGATATGTATATATAGTTAACATGGTTCTTTTTTCATTCAATTAATAGATGGGATCCTGAGAATGAATTAATTAGGTTTAATTTTGTTGTTACAGGAGTTGTTCTTTTATTATTATTATTAACACATACATTAATATCTAAAACAATCTTTGTTTTATTATTTGAATTTATAGTTCTTATAGTGTGATATCATACTAATTTTTCAAATGGGTAGAGGTGATTTCAAACAGTCAAAAATAAATCAATATGAAAATTATTGAAAATCCTTTTTACTACTAATTTTAAAATTGTCTCAAAATCCTCATCACAGGTCAAGTTTGACATCTGGGTATTACTCTGTGTATTAAATCACTTCCTGTGTATAGGGATTAGGAGACAGATGGCCATAAGTAGATTGCTAGTCCCCAAGGCATTCACACCTGTACAAAATAAGCCCCTCCCTCACCTGGTATTTACCACCCGGTAAAAATTCTCTGCCTTTAAGCTAAAGTATACACGAAAATGTTTTTCAAATCAATTTCACAGTTGGCTCAGTAGGAAAACACAGCGAATGTAAATATATAATGATGGACTCCCTGCAATGACGCTATAATGATGGACTCTCTACAATGACGCTTAGCCTGTTCCCCTGTCTCATCCTTACCAATGCAGAAGTGAACGAAGCATTACAAGACCAGGAACCAGGCTACAGTGACGCTATGATAATAGACTCCATAGTCCCTACAATGTTTGACTTCCTAATTTGTGATGGACTTCCCTTATTGAGTCTAACTGCTGCGACCCATAACTTAACACTGTTATCCTGATGACTAAAGGTATGGGCCCTTTATTGTTGCACTAACTGCATTCATGATCTTATGCAACAGATTTAATATAATTTTCATATTAAATAGAGATTTAGTCAAGATTCTGCCAGGTGACTAAAAGAGAAAACAAACATATCTCGTAACTGAAGGGTGCTAAAAAGTAACTTCAATAGACTTCAGAAAAAAACATTCACTGTAAAAGGCTAGGAATAAAATCCCTCGGCTGCCATATTCAAAGAAAGAAAATAACTCACCTATAGCAGGGATAAAATAAAACGGAAGATTAATTCATACATGTCAACATTTAACGTTCTGTAGTAGAAAAGACCGAAATGATATCTTGCCTAAATTTAGCCGATTCTGAGAAGTCACGTGACTTGGTCTTTCCTAAATGTTCCGTCTTCCTTGTCAAAGTTGATCACGTGAGTAGAATACAGCCATATATCATCATTCCGCATGAAAAAAAGCTGTGCATGGGGAATTCTCATCATATTTAACATGCACCCCGAAGCAGTGTATTGCAATACATGTAATTTTTTCATGAATAAGATAAATCAATAATACACATGCTGAGACTTTCAATAAGGAAATAATAAAGGGAACGATATAATCACTGCAGCGGCGAAAAACGGTAAATGGAATACGAGATCTGGGAGAAAACAAGATGTGTTGTGAAACACTATGCGCCCGGCGGCAACAAAGTTCAAAAAATCTATTTTTAGCATATTGATCATAGTCAAGGTCACAAGGTCATTGACCATGGTGTCATTTGAAAGAACTTAATCGGTGGAGTATGCATACTAAATATGTAGTCCCTATCTCCTATGGTTCAAAAGTTATGGCAAAAAGTGTAAAGAACATATAGGTCACAGTCAAGGTCACAAGATCATTGACATAGCCGTCGTTTGAAAGGACTTTATCGGTGAAGTATGCATACCAAATATGAAGTCCCTATCTCCTATGGTTCAAAAGTTATGACAAACAGTGAAAAAAGCTATTTTTAGCATAAAGGTCACAGTCAAGGTCACAAGATCATTGACCTTGCCGTCGTTTAAAAGGACTTTATCGGTGGAGTATGCATTCCAAATATGAAGTCCCTCTCTCCCATGGTTCAAAAGTTATGACAAACAGTGGAAAAAGCTATTTTTATCATATAGGTCACAGTCAAGGTCACAAGGTCATTGACAATGGTGTCATTTGAAAGAACTTAATTGGTGGAGTATGCATTCCAAATATGAAGTCCATATCTCCTATGGTTCAAAAGTTATGGCAAAAAGTGTAAAAAGCTATTTTTAGCATAAGGGTCACAGTCAAGGTCACAAGATCATTGACCTTGCCGTCGTTTGAAAGGACTTTATCGGTGGGGTATGCATACCATATATGAAGTCCCTATCTCCTATGGTTCAAAAGTTATGACAAACAGTGGAAAAAGCTATTTTTAGCATATAGGTCACAGTCAAGGTTACAAGGTCATTGACCTTGATGTCATTTGAAAGGACTTTATTAGTGGAGTATGCATACCAAATATGAAGTCTCTATCTCTTATTGTTCAAAAGTTATGGCGAAGGTTAAAGTTGACAACAGACAAACAGACAAACAGACAAACAGATAAACAGACAAACAGATAAACAGACAAACAGACAAACAGACAGGACAAAAACAATATACGCCCGGGATCTATCGATCCGGGCGCATAAAAATGTCTGCATGTTGACAGTTTCCTTCTTCTTGCTTTTTAAAACTCATTCTGCCTTGAGATATGACTATATTATATATATATATACTCTAACTAAAGAATGTTTATATTTTTTGTGTGTTCTCTTGTTAAATAAAATTAAATTGAAATTTTCAACATAATTTATTCACGATAAGAATTTCATTTGTAAAATTGGATCAAAAACATTACGACTTGTTAAAATTATAAGTCATTAATATAACACATCTAAATGTAACTCGACTTCGCTCCATGAATTTTTAACACTGTATCAAAAAAAGATAGAAAGACTTTCAAAATACTCTTTGATAACAGAAAAAAATATTTAAAGATATAAAGCTTGTTTTACTGATGGGCATGGGTATATTTTGAAAAGAAAAACATGAATGAAATCAACTGGAACTTTCAGGTATCTCGTTTACACGTTGTTAAGAAGTGCAATATGTCATTATACTTATGCAAGAAGAAGGCGGAGGAGGAGGAGAGGAAGAGGTAACAATATTTTTAACTCAGAACTCACAGTCCATGCTGTAATGACTGATGAAAAACGTTTTTTTACGACATCATTGAATCTAAATGATACTATGTAATATAGATTCTGTGAAGTTTATTAAATTGCATTCACAGGTGTAAGAGGAGTTGCAGATATGGGATGGCTACAGTAAAATACAGACACTCCCACTGTTATATACCCCCACTTTTCAAGCGATGAAGAGAACATGGAAAAAGTGGGGGGGGGGTAAAATTACAGTCTTGATCGTGGTAGCTAGGTCGAGATTGTATGCTGATTTGGAAGTCAGCGGGACATAACTTAAATTTTGTTTGTTTATTTCATCTATATTATCAATAAAGCTCCGTCCTAGCACTAGAACCCCTGACCCAGGGGCCATGAATTTCAAAATTTGTACTTTGTACTTGGTTAGTTTATTTAATGCCCAGGAACAGAGAAAAGATTTTCAAAGAATTTATGCATTTTCACTAGATAATCTATTAAGACCCGCCCTAGCACTAGAACCCCTGACCCGGGGGCCATGAATCTCACAATTTTGTTAGAAGACTCAATGCTGATTACAATGCTTGATGTCCAGGAGTGAATAAGAAGATTTTCAAAGATTGCATTAATTTTAGTGCTTTTGGTCCCACCCCTCGGGCCCCAGGGGTGGGTGGGTGGGCAGGGACCATGAAATTCACATTTTACGCTCCCCTTCACTCATTGATGCTTTGTGCTGGTTGATATTGGTTCAGTGGTTGCAGAGAAGAAGCTGAAAATGTTCAAATGTTAACACACGACGGGCGAAAACTGATAGCAATAGGTCACCTGAGTTTACTCAGGTGCCCTTAAAAATAGATATATGCAATCTCTTGCAATTAATAAATTTATAATATGTGACTGGGAAAATGGGGTCAGATAAGCTAAAATAATTTTTTGAGTTTTTTTTTTAAATTCTCATAATTTTTTTTAATTCTCATAATGTTAAAAAAAATTGTCAAAAAACCAGAGTCATATCTGAAGGGGTTTTAAAGATATGACCAGATCTGTTCATTGACCCTTTATAGAGTTATTACATGAAGAGACACTTTCAAAACAGGGAATATGACTTTTTCTATGATATTTCATCTGAAGTTTAATTCTTAGATTTTAAACTTAAATTTACACTTTTTTAAAATAGAAATTTTAGAAGTGTACAGAATTTTCATCATTGTTGTCATGGCAAGAAAATAAAATAAGATTTCTTATCTTTTACAAAATCATTTTTGCAAGAATTCAAAGACAATCGGTGTTTATAAAAGTTTCAATAATTCATACACATCCTGTGATCATAAATTTTCAATTTTTAAGGAAGCAATAAACACTAACATAATATATTTTCTGGCATATAAAAGTGTCCAGTCCAGGTTTATCAAGTTCATTTTCAACAAAAGGTACCTATCATACTTCCCTAAAAAAATGCTAAAAACAGTTAAGGTACCTTATGTAAACTTATTGAACAGAAATTAGACATGTTTACTTACATTGGGAAGATACATGCAAATGATTCAATTACTTTTTCTTAGTCTAACATACATGTAATGTTAAGAACACTTTTATTTAGTAAACATTGCGTTCTTCACTGTAGAGAAGTTATGTAAGAATTAGTGAAACGGTATCGACTTTAATGCTTCTCAAACAATCTAGACCAGAATAGGTTCAATTCAGGTTGTCAGGGATTATTTTTTAGAAAAAGTAATTACAAGAACCTCTCAGATAGTCCTGTGCTTATGTATGTGTCTTTAATCATCTAAATAAAATGACATGTAGAATAACCGTGTTTGTTTATATATCTGTATACACACATTCTGTTGTTGTTCAGTGATCCTACCCAGAGTTGATGCGTTATGCCATCATAACTCAAGCTACATGGTATTTCTATACCGTGATGTTGTGTCTGTATTAGTGACAGAAAAACACCATTCTTGTCAACTATTTGTACCGCGTCAGTGTAACCATCACACACCAGGATGTTCGACAGCGCGTCTGTACAGAGTCCTTGTGGACTAAGCCAGGATCCTGATGGGTGTCCCGTGTAGGAGAAACGGTGTCTTCCCCCACGCTCTGTCACCACTACCAAGCATAAGTCAGACACAATTACGTCTCCATTGCGGTTTTCTGTGATATACACGGGATAGCTGTACAGTTCCTGCCCTGTATTTGTGTGTTGTATTGTCTTTATCTGTTGTCCTATGTGGTTATACCGTGTAACCTTTGCCCTCCATGTAGGTGTATCACTTCTGCACATTCCTACCAATAGTTCTCCAGTGGAGGGAGAGCAAAACACACACAGTGGCACGTATGGTCCTGTTCTCGTTAGCAATGTAGACTTTGTTCTCATATCTGTAGATAATTTATTAATATTACAAACATTGTCTATATAGATAAGCCCTCGTGTAACACTGAAAGTATGTGCCCCATATCCTCCACTGATATCTCTCAACTGAAGTAGTCTCTCGCCTGATTTATTTGTCAATACGAGATTGTTATTATCACTGATCCAGACTAGATCTGGTGTCTGAAAGGAGATGTGTCTAACATCACTCACACCTGTTACCGTGAAGGATCTTTGTAACATTGGGGTAGACATCAGATTCAGAAGACTTTCGTTTCTTAACTGTCTTTTTCCTGTCTCTATGATTTGTATTTCGCTCAATAAGTTACTGATACCTCTAATTTCGGTTTTCTCAGTCAGGGAAAGAAGGGTGTGTTGTGTAACATCGAGAGTGTCCTTTTGGTTGGGTAAACGGGTTTTCTTAAGAAATAAAAGGAATTTTACTTGTCTGTTTAATGACTGTTCAGATCTTTGTTCATAGTTCTGTGCTATGGAAAGGAGTCTCTTAATGTTTTTCTCCTGCTCATGTAATTTATTAATAAAAAAAATAATGTTTAAGTTTAACATCACATATTACAGTGTCCACGAAACTCTTTAATTTCTGACCTTTTCGTGTCATCTCTGATTGTTGGTTTGATATTTCTGTGTGAATTTTTTTAATGTCAGTTTTGATTTTTGTCAAGTAAATATAGTTGTTATAGAGAAGTTTACCTCTGACGTCATGAATGATTTCTCTGTGTTGTTGTCTATTTATTTTATATGCTGATTTAATTTCCTGTAACTTGTGTTTTCTGTGTTCAAAGCAATGGAAACAAATAGGAAGTTTACATGAATGACAGAACATTTCATAAGTTATATTTGGATGTCTTACACAGGTCTCTAATTTTGTTTTTCCTTTATATTTCTCCCGGAAAATCACAACATCATGATAAATGCTATCCAAATTAGCTACATGTTTTTCTTTACAATGAAGGCACAGGTTATTTCTACACGTGTTACAGTAGTATTCGGTTATCTGCTGACATTGAGAACACTGTCGTACTCTACACTGAGTGCTGAATCCCTTTCCCATCATTCGAAAGGAACAGGATCTGCTGAAATTAGTCAGATTAGGTCAGAGGGCATACAAAAAGTTTGAATTATACAAAGCTTGATGAAACATATGAAGATAACAAATAGTATGCGAGGTCAAAAGTTTATAAAACAATACAAAATAGTAGCAGAACTACAAGCCTCCAAACCATTGGAGGTGGAATCAGGTGCCATGGAGGAGAGAGCACCCCCTGCCGACCGTTCACAACCGCCGTGTGCTCCTTCTCATGATCGGGAAAAAACGAGAACCCCATCGTCAATTCAGTGTATAAATAATAGACTAACAATTCGTGTGAAAAACATCTGTCAGCATTAAACTCAATAATAATTTGTGTTTGCTGACAGGGTCATTGTATCGACCATAAAACTTAAGTGAAAATGATGAAATTTAACGAGACTGCTGATATTCTTGTTTCATCAACTTGTTTGTCAATATTTTACCTCGTTTTAGAAAATGTTCATACGTAGAGCAAGTTCTTGTGTATCGAATCATAAAGACCGTATGCATGTGATAACATTTACTTTTCGGCATATTAGTTTACCTCATTAATTGCTGTTGGTCCATTATTTATATAATGAATTGACGACGAATTTTTCCGGGTTTTTTTTATCATGTCAAGGAGCACACGGCAGGTGTGACCAGTCGGCAGGGGATTCTCACTTCTCCAGGGCATCTTGTCCCACCTTAAATGTTTCGGAGGTCCATGTTTGCTCTGTTTTTTTTTTTTTGTTTGTTTTGTTTTGTTTTGTTTTATGGACTTTTGAACTTGAATACTGTTCGTTATCCCCTTATATTCAATTTTAAACAGAATTGAGAAATGGAAAATACATTTAAGAAATGAATTTTATTTTTGAAGATTCATGAGGACATGAACTACAACGATTCAAGCAGGCATATTGTTAGCGTTTAGTGATAAATAAGCAGACGTTTAGCGTCGTAGTTCATGTACCTCGCTATTTTATTTTTTTACGTTTACATTATTTTCTGATAGGGAATCACAATTCAACTGTCATTTTACGAAGCAAAACAGTATGCACGATAGTTTTAATGTCAAATACGATATTATGACGGAACAATGGAAATATTCATGCTCATCCATTGTTCATATAAAATTAACAATAATCTAATTTGAAAGAATCTTAAAGAAATATGTTTGGATATGTAAATATAAACATGTACATATTATGTAATTTCGCCACATATGATCAACATATGCATTATGTTTCACATGAGAATCATATGTGAATCATATGTTAAATCAAATGAGAACTATATGTTTATATATACAATCATATGAGAATCAGATGTGGCAAATCATACGTGAATCATATGAATATACACATGTAAATCATGAAGTAATATACATATGATGCCTTTTTATGATTCTCATATGAAACCAATCAAATTATGGATCATATGTTGCAAGGTTGCTTGTATACACACATACACGTATATTTTTATATCTGAAACTAACCTCAGTTTTGGCGTTTACCTTCATTCCTTCATTCTAATGATCCTGAAGTGTGTCATTTAACATGTATCTTCTATCCTTAAACTGCGCATAACTTTATTTTTATCTCCGACTTTATCTATGACAAGAGGCCTAACCGTTTGTGTTGCAAGTACAGGTATTTACTTGTACCATAAAATAAGTACATTTATGCTGTCAGCATGAATAATTTTGGGTAAGTTCTTCAGGTTTCAATAGTAAATAACCTTTCATTTAACTAAAAAAAGAAATTTCATATTGTTAAAAATCATAAAAATATTTATGAATAAGTTTTTTTTCACTTAATTTGGGGCGGTTAACAAATTAAAAAGGATAAAAAAAAAACTTAATGAAATGGTTCCAGTCGACAAGGCTTCTAATAATTTAGTCTTTGCTTGTAAGGCCTATTATAATAACTGTATTTTAGAAGAACCAGTATTTTGATTGCCTGCTTGAAATCCAACTTAAATATGCAGTTCAATTACCTAAGATGACATATAAAGCATCTCAGATTTAATATGTTTGGATTTTTAGAAAATGTGAAAAATTGCCAAATTTACCAAAAGTCAGTAACATTCAGATTTACGACTTTTCTACATTATACAACCATTCTTAGCGATAAGCTATCAACAAAACCACTCTGATTCTACACACAAGTACTCTAAACCAAACTATAACTCTTCATAAAATTAATTATTTTATTTGGAATGATAAAACATATGGAGATAACGAACAGTATTCAGTTGCTAGATCAAACGTCCATACAACAACACAAAATAGGAGCAGAACAAACACGGACCCCCAAAACATCAGGGTTGGGATCAAATGTCATGGAAGAGTGGGCATACCCTGCCTACCTGTAACACCCGTTGTGTGCTCCTTGTCATGATCGGAAAATAACGGAATTGTAATAGTTTCCTAATGTTTTTAATCGTTTCTCGTCAAAGGAAGCAATTTCCGTTATTTACCAATCATGACAAGGAGCACACGGCGGGTTTGACCGGTTGGCAGGAGATGCTCAGTCCTCCATGGCACCTGATCCCACCTCTGGTGTTTTGGAGGTCCGTGTTTCCTCTGCCCCTATTTGTATTGTTTTAATGAATACTGTTTGTTGTCGCCATAGCCTTCATCCATTGCCTTATTTAAATGTAACTTCCGTTTTTGCTATTTATAAACATGCCTCTAATACGGAAGATGATAACAGTAAAATCTCATATGTTCGATTACATAACATGTTTAAAAGCTTGAATATTTCAATAGTTGATTTCTGAAATCTAGCATCATGAAAGACACGCCCAATTTAAAAATTTAAAAGTTACATACCACAAATATAAAATACTTTTCAATTAAAAAGTAGCAATTTACTATTTTAAGGAATAAACAATTCTTTATTATCTTATCTTTTTGGCCTAATTTCTAGAGGCACCATTGTTATTTTTCGGCGACACGTTACAACAAAACTAAGACGAATATGGCTAATGTGCAAAAAATACTCATCCATTTGTTAGTCCATTATTTATACACTGATTTGACTACGGATTTTTTCCGTTACGTCCTGATCATGACAACGAGCACACGGCGGGTGTGACCGGTCGGCAGGGGATGCTCACTCCTCCATGGAACTTTTCCCACCTCTGATGTTTCGGAGGTCCGTGTTTGCTCTGCTCTTATTTTGTATATTGTTTAATGGACGTTGAGATTGAATACTGTTCGTTATTTCCATATTCTTCTGTAGGAAGTCAGTTTGAATTGACTACGGATTTTTTTCCGTTATTTCCTGATCATGACAACGAGCACACGGCGAGTGTGACAGGTCGGCAGGGGATGCTCACTCCTCGATGGCACCTGATCCCACCTCTGATGTTTCGGTGGTCCGTGTTTGCTCTGCTCTTATTTTGAATTGTTTTATGAACTTTGAGACATCTAACAGGTGCAAACTGTAAACTGCCTCCTGTTTTGTGAATGCATCTGTTAATCAAATACTAGTATTTAGATTACACTATGTTTTTATATACTTCAAAAACTTTTTTCTGTATTGTTTGCAGAATATTAGAAGGAATTAAACTCACCTCAGGTTAATTTGTAAATGTTTAAATGGAAATATGTGTACTACAGTGACTACCATTATAGTTTCCCTTCAATTCTTTTCAATAGTGCCAATGAACTGAATTGTTATTTATCTAAGTATTTTAATTATACCTGAATCTACTCTTGAGGACTCCAAATGCCCTCTCAACTGTATTTCTTGTGGTGCTGTGGGCATTGTTGTACCTCTGCTCCTGAGGGGTCCTGGGGTTAACAAATGGGGTCAAGAGCCATTTCCTGAGTGATTACCCAGAATCCCCCAACAACCAACCATTAACTCTCCTCAGTAGATTTGGAAGCGAGGAATTTTGCAGAATAAAGGAGTCGTGAGTCGCTCCTGGCCACCTTATCACTATGTTTGAAAAGTTGCATGTAATAGATAACATTGTTTTTAAAAAAAATTGGGCATTGTTTTGATCCTTATAGTCAACACGTTCAAGTTTTCAAAACAGTTACTTGTTATTTTTCAATTATATTTACCGAAGGTTGGCATCCACAACACCTTGTACATTTATAGCGGGATACCCTTTTCTGCAGATAAAATTGGGCTCCTCATCCCCTGTCATGCCTTGGATTGGTATCAACGTCTCATCAATCGCCCCTACAACATTTGGAAACCCTGCAACCTGATAGAAGTCCTCTTTCACCTTTGAAAGTTCTTCATTTGACTCAGGAAACTTAACATTATCCAAGGACTCGCACAAAGCAGAGGTAACAGAGGTTACGATCCTGGAAGCGGATGATATGGAAATTCCATGAAGATCGCCAACCTCAGATAAATACTCTCCTTTGGCTAAAAAGCGTAGAGTTGTCAACACCTGAAATATGAAGCATTGATTATATTTTCAATTCAATTAGGAAATTAAATATAGTATTCCATGTGGGGTCACAATAGGGATAGAAGTTTACATATTAGGATTATATTATAGAATGTTATGACTCAGGTCAGCATTGTGGCCCAAAATTGAGAGGGGGGGCACAGAGTGACCACTTTCGGGTTTAAACTTTTCAATGCTAGACTGATTATTGCTTTTTTTTTCCTAGTCACAGTACTCAGGTGAGCGATGTGGCCTATGGGCCTCTTGTTTCATATTTTTTACTTCTCCTGCAGAACCACAATTAAATTAAGCAATGAAAACATCCTTGGGTGAAGGAAATCCAACAGGTATGAAAGATATATTAAAATAAGGATGGCTACATCATTTATATGTAAACAAAATTGTGATTTCTAATAATGCAATTATACAGATATTAACATTTAATTATTGATCCTTATAATGTGTGACACTATAAAACTTTTTTTTCTATTACTGTTTACAAGTAGTCTTAATAATATTATATTTTAAGTGTCTCAAGGATTGTTTCAAGTTAGATTGTTAATGACATGACCTTTTTTGGCTAAGTTGGGACAAATCATAGGATTAGGTTTAAAATAAGACCAATAAATGAAATTTCTTATTACATGTACTTCAGTTAAAAGTTAATTTCCCATACAAGAGGTATCTAACAAAATTAATTCAAGATTGTAGCTTACACAAACTACAGTGTTTTTTTAATATGTGTATATTGTATACATTATAGGTACCTAATGCTAGACACTAGAAGGACCTAATTTGTTTGGAGACGAAATTTAGATAGACCGTAAATTCAAGGGGACGAAACCCACTGACAACCGTTAGGTTAGCTCTTTTGTGTTTCGAGACTGAAAGCAAAACTTACTTGGATATGTGAAGGTATGGCATATGATCTCGTTGTTGGATGCTGTATTCTTTCATGTACAAGGTCAATTAACTCCAAAATGCATGGTCTCGGAAAATGATAACGAGCTATGACTTCAGTGTCATTGAATTTGTCCAAAGGGTTTGACTGGTCTCGAAAAACCCTTTCCCGACGCCTTGCTCTCTCCGAATGGAATAAAACGACAAACGCTGCAGCCATTTTTGTTTACATTTATTTTTGTCTCAAGATGAATATTTAAGTTATTTATTTCACTAAGAGAGGGTAAGGGCTGTCGTAAAGTTACGACAGATTTTGCACTTAGGACTTTCTTAAGAACTTTTGTGAAAACGACTTTATCGTAAGTTTTCACTTAAGAGAAATATATGTTGTAAGATTTTTTGTGAAAAGGGCAACTTATTTGATACTCACCAGCATGCTCTGAGTACGATTAATTTTTAATCAAGGCAGGCTACTGATAGATAGATTGATGTTACAGGGATTTCAACAACCTCGTTTAAAGTTAGCATACTAACAATGACCTTGTTTTCAAATATATCCTGTCATTGGTCGTTTTTTTTAAATAATGTACAGGCTTGTCTGTCAGCATAAAGACCTTTTTTACATTCTCAAGAAGTCTAAAAATTTAGAAACAATCTAGTAATATATTGAAGGGGGTCCCAATTTTAAGGATGAGGAAGAGAATTCTACGTTTATTTTACCCTTTCAATTAAATCATGTTTTTTAATATATTTCATTAAGTTTGAAAATTCTTTCACCCAGCAATTCACTTGTATATACTTTTCTATATACGATTAAACAAATGTCACTTACGTAAATGTATATTCTACCATGTAATTTTTATCTATATATACTGAAAAAAATTAACAACAAGTAGATATGTGCCAAACTTATAGCTTTTATCTGGTACTAAGGTATTGTTGTATTTCATATCAAGTACACATTTAACTAGTTACAAAGGTCTTTCAGATACTTCTGTTTTTGTATGAATGCTTTTATCATAGAATTAATTCAATTGTCCGAATGCACACAGTGTCAGCACAGAATGTGTAATGTCATATATCTATTTTACTCTGACTTCTAATATTTTGTAGATAGTCCTCCCTCTCTATGTATCTGTATACACATATTTTCTTTTCCCCTTAGCGAAATCCAGCCCAGAGAAGATGAGTTTTGTCGTCATATCTCACACACGTTGGTCCATCCATTCCTCGTCGTTTCAGTATCAGTGACAGGAAGTGGCCGTCCTTGTCAAGCATATGAATTGCGCTGGTGATAAAATCACACACCAGGATATGTGACAGCGCGTCAGTACAGATTCTTAATGGAAAAAACCGTGATCCTCGTGGATGTCCTGTGTAGAAGAAACGGTGTCTTCCTCTACTGTCTGTCACCACTACAGCATCACGGTCAAAGTCAGACACAATAACATCTCCATTCCGATTCTCTGTGATGTAGATACGATTATGAAACAGTCTCCGGTCTATGTTTCCATGCTGTATTGTCTGTTTGTATTGTCCAATGTCATTATAGCGTGCTATTATGCCTAAATTATAGGACTGCATCCCGACCAGAAAATCGCCGTTGCGGTGGGAGGTGTAGATACACCGTGGTACCCATCGTTCTGTTTTCTTTATCAGTGTAGACTTTGTTTTGTTATCTTTAGAGGGTTTGATAATGTTACCACCCCTGTCTATATAAATAAGATCACCAGTAAGATTCACTGTGTCACTAACAAGCACAAACATTCTTCAACGACCAATTGGGAACTCGCATATTAAGTATATTAAATATATGATAAATAGAATACTACATACAAAATTCCATATCATATGTCACATCAGCCCTCGGGCCCCATATCAGCCCTCGGGCCTTCGGCCCTCAGGCTGATATGGGGCCACTCGGGCTGATATGACATATGATATGGATTTTAGTATGTAATATTCTCTATGTAATACAGGTGTACACATCAGTTTCAGCAGACATTCATTTCTTACTCGTCTTTTTCCTGTCTCTTTGATTTGGATTTCTCCCAATAAGTCAATCACAGCCTCCATTTTAATGTCTTCAGAAAGGCAGACCAGGGCGTATTGTGTGAGACTAGGAGTACACTTTGACTTGTGTTCACGAGTCTTCTTTTGTAATATAAGGAATTTTAGCGGTCTGTTTGCCAAATGGTCAGATCTGTGTTCAAATGTTTCTATGCTGGCAACATGTCTGTTTATTATTCTCCTCTGCTTTTGGAAACTTTAGTTACTAAGGTCTTTCAGATACTTCTGTTTTTGTATGAATGTGCTCATCATAGATCTAATTCAATTGTCCGATTGTTCTGTGTCAGTACAGAATGTAAAATGTCATATATCTATTTCACTTTAATATTGTAGAAAGTCCTGTCTCTCTATGTATCTATATACACGTATTTTTTGTTTACCGTAAGATACTCCAACCCACACAAGATGAGTTTTGTCGTCATAACTCAGGGCCATTGGTCCGTTTATCTTTTGTCGTCATGTCAGTAGCAGTGACAGAAAGTGGCCGTTCTTGTCAAGCATTTCTATTGTGTTAGTGTTACTGTCACACACCAGGATGTGTGACAGCGCGTCAGTACAGATTCTTAATGGAAAAAATCGTGATCCAGATGGGTGTCCTGTGTAGGAGAGACGGTGTCTACCTATACTGTCTGTCACCACTACAGCACCATTACGACCATAAATATTAGATACAATAACATCACCATTGCGGTTCTCTGTGATGTAGACAGGATCAGAATACAGTTTCTGGTCTGTGTTGTCTTGCTGTATAGTATGTAGGTGATATCCTGTGTCATTCTAGCGTGCTATTATGCCTGTTTTGTAGGACCGCATCCCGACCAGCAAATCGCCGTTGAGGTGGGAGGAGTAGACACACTGTGGTACCCATTGTTCTGTTTTCTTTATCAGTGTAGACTTTGTTGTGATATCTTTAGAGAGTTTGATAATGTTACCATCCCTGTCTATGTAAATAAGATTACCAGTAAGATTAACAGTGTGTTGTCCCCACACTGTAATACATCTGTCAGATGATGTAGTATGTCACCCTCTGAGTTTATCAAGATCAGATTACTGATCCAGGCCTTGTCTGGTGTCACACAGGATATATGCGTAATATAAAATATTTCACCTGTCATTGTGACAGATTTGGTTAATACCGGTGAAGGCATCAGTTTCAGCAGACATTCATTTCTTACTTGTCTTTTTCCTGTCTCTATGAGTTTAATTTCTCCCTGTAAATCAGTCACATCCTCCATGTTTATTTCTTCAATCAGGCAGACCAGGGTGTATTGTGTGAGATAAGGAGTGTCCTTTATGTTCTGAACACGGATTTTCTTTAAAAGCATCAGATTTTTAGCGATATCATTGCTAACTGCATAGATCTCTGTTCAAAGTTTTCTATGCTGGCAAGATGTATGTTTTTTCTCTTCTGTTTTTGTAAACTTTGAATAAATCTTTTGTGTCTGATTTTAACATCACACATGACAGTGTCTATGAGGTTCCTTAGTTTCTGTGCCTTTGTTAACATCTCTGACTGACGGTTGGATATTTCTGTTTGACAAATTTTTATATCAGCTTTGATTCCTGCAAAAACATGACAGCTGTTATAGAGAGTCTCACTTCTGATGCTGTGAATGATTTCTCTGTGTTTTTGACGGCCTGTTTTGTATGCTGTTCTAATGTGTAGTATTTGGTGGTGTCTGTGTTCTGTACATTGGAAACAGATAGGACGTTTACAGGAATGACAGTAATTTTTATAAAACATGCCTTGGTGTCTCTCATAAGTCTTGTTTTGTAATGTGGTTATATTTCTCGCGGTAAATCACAACATCATGGTGTTTGGTGTGTAGATCTATAACATGTCTCTCTCTACACTGTAGACACAGGTCATGTTTACACGTTTTACAGTAGTATGCTGTGTCACCCTGACACTGGGAACACTGCCGTACTTTACACTGGGAACACTGCCGGACTTTACACTGGGAACACTGCCGTACTTTACACTGGGAACACTGCCGGACTTCACACGGCGAACACTGCCGGACTTTACACTGGGAACACTGCCGTACTTTACACTGGGGACACTGTCGGACTTTACACGGGGAACACTGCCAGACTTTACACTGGGAACACTGACGTACTTTACACTGGGGACACTGCCGGACTTTACACTGGTTGCTGAATCTTGAACCCATTATCCTGAAGACAAGACAAAGTCTCTTGTTTAGAGATAGTTATATTTTTCAAAGTAAATCACAACATCGTGGTATATGGATTGGAGATCTATAACATGTCTCTCTTTACATTACAGACACAAATCATAATTACACGTGTTACAGTAAAATCCTGTGTCCCTTGACACTGGAAACACTGACGTACTCTACACGGTGTGAAGTGTATCCTAGCCTGTCCATGATTTACAGGATTTAGTTGTTATGTTCACAATTTGCTGAAACTAAATCAAATTACAATGTATACAAACACGTATATCTTATTACAGTGTACTAGATCAGAAAGCATATAGAAGTTTTTTATAAAGAAAAAGAAGACTTAACAACAAAAATTTCATTTGCGAAAAATCTTGAAATAAGTTGACGTAATCTAGGCTGTATGTTTACAATATTAATATACGTCCCCTTCAATTTGCAAAAATATAATTTATTGAATTTTGTATGAGGGCAACATAAGTTTTGAGGGACCCAAGGGCCAGGAAGTGTTTGTCCGTAAGGCCGAAGGCAACAGTTTGGTTTAAATGTTCAGCAAAACGCATTCTGTTCGAGAACACATTCAGTAATTTAATGTCTTGTTATTATTATACCATTTACTTTCTATTATAACACATCTTCTGATGACTTAATATTGGCATTGAATATAACAACATTTTGATGATTCTGAAACTGTTGACTTATACTGTTTGATTGCTTAATTGCTGTTTTACGTCCCATGGAAGGACTTTTCATTGACATAGAAAGCGACGGTTCCGTGAGGGGTTTCAAATTTAGACTTAAAGACGGCACTCATGGTCGTGACTCGGGACCTTTCATTTAAAAGACCGTGACTTTCACTTACAGTACCATGCGCTTCGCGAAGGAACAGTTACCGCCTAGGTAGAGCTATATTATATCCAAGTCACGGTTTCTGGGAATATTATCTCCGGTTTGGTTTTTTTGTAATAAAACACATGTTCGATCCCGATGCACATACTTCTGTAACCATATGACGATATGTACGGCAAGTTCGCAGCTTAAATTTGGACGATAATCGGAGACTTAATATTATGACACCCAGGTGAATGTACGATTTCACAAAATCTGTGGTATTCAATAGTTAACATAATTATTGATAGACTGCGGTTTATTACCTATCAGTATCAATACTAATATATACAAGCAATGCCAAAGTAGAACTTGAAGTAAATTTAGCATATGTGTACGCACTGCAAAATATTATTACAATGTATGATTAAGTATGTTAATCTTCCGAGACAAAAAGAAGGTAGTTATAAGGAGTCCGACCCATAAAGATAAGTAATAATCTTTTATTGTGAACCTGGGAGAATAGGAATTATAGGTCCTAGAAACAAATAACGTTCAACTAGCAATATAACATGATATAGGTGTTCATCATAATCCAGTCACTGTGATAATAATCTAATAAATACTTCATAATAACTCAGTAAATAAAAAAAGTTCATCAGAAACAAAAACCGATACACAATTGAAAAAACCTATTAAGCTAGTGAAGGTTCGACAATACCCAGTCACTGTTCAACATTACCCAGTTACGTTCAAAATAACCAAGTCTTTAAGCAACCTAACCCAGTCACGGTTCAAAATAACCAAGTCTCTAAGCTACCAAACCAAGCCATGGTTCCATATACTAGTAACCAAGTCAATAAACAACCTAACATAGTCACGGTTTAACATAACCAAGTCTCAAAACAACCTAAACCAGTCACGGTTTAACAAAACCAATTCTCTACACAACCTAACCCAGTCACGGTTTAACATAACCAAGTCTCTACACAACCTAACCAAGTCATGATTCCATATAACCAAGTCTTTAAACAACCTAACACAGTCACGGTTTAACATAACCAAGTCTCTACACAACCTAACCAAGTCATGGTTCCATATAACCAATTTTTTAAACAACCTAACACAGTTACGGTTAAACATAACCAAGTCTCAAAACAACCTAAACCAGTCACGGTTTAACATAACCAAGTTTCCAAACAACCTAACCCACATAAACATAACCCAGTCTATAACAACTTACCAAAGTCATTGTTCCACATTACAAGTCTCTACACAACCCATCCAAGTCATGGTTCCACATAACCAAGTCTTAAAATAGCCTAACCCAGTCACGATTTAATATAACTCAAAACAACCTAACACAGTCACGGTTTAACATAACCAAGTCTCTAAACAACCTAACCCAGACACGGTTTAACATAACCAAGTCTCAAAACAACCTTACCCAGTCATGGTTCCACATAACCAAATCTCTTAACTACAGTACAGGCCACGAGTCTTCCGCATCGCTCGGTGGAAAGAACACCGTGTGAAACGGTCTGTGTTACACCGTGTACACGGTGTAGCACGGTGTGTGTGGATTTGAAATATACAGGTAGGCACCAGCCATGGCACGCACCGTGGCTGGAAAAATCTCAGCTAATGCCCTCCGTGTCGCACCGTGTCCAGTAAATTTCCCTC